ATACCGTTTGATGACAAGCACGCTTGTAGGCTATGCTTGTAGTTATGCTTTACTGTGGGTTTGCCTCAAGCATCGAGTTAAAAGATTTTTGCGAATGGTTACTTCAGGCTGTTCAACTCAAGTTTGATCCACATGGCTGCGTATTGGTGCTGAAGGGGCACCATCTGTGGTAAGTAAAAATGCCTGTCTTAAGAACTGCATAGGAAAAATTAGATAAAAAAGCTTTGTGTAAGCAAAAAGAATGGGTAACTCGCATGTCGCCAACAGGTCCACATTCCAGCTGCAGTTGACTCAATAATCCAGGCATTATATATCAAACATACGTCATCTATTGTACCCAATCATGCAGACCTGCCTCGTTCGAAAGCTCCGTCTTACGGAGTGGCATCAGGCTTTTCGTGACAAGTCCAACATACGGCAAACTTTGACAATTATTCACTCTTTTATATTGTATTCACCGGTGATAAACTACTTAATACGTGTTTGAGAGATCGGATAATTCTGATTTGTCCATTTGTAAAAATGTCGACGACTACGCGGAATGCGAACTCGCAATTGAAAGACAAGGTTTTGGTACAACCAGTGTTCTAGCCGTCTGATCTGTAAGACCTGCACTTAGCCCAAATGCAAAAACTAAATGGTTTCGATCGGTGTCTTGTGGCCCGACTTGTAAAATCACTGGTTATCTATCTATGTTGCCGACTCAAATCCCGCCAGACCGCCGAGTCGTTCGCAAGTTGATCAGCCAAATAAGCCTATCCTCAAACGCGACGAATTTTACAACAGTCTTTATCATGCTCCGACCAGATTTTAACACTTGATACGAAATCGAGATTCTTCATTTGATAAAATTCAAAAGTACATTATCTAATCAGCGAGTATTTCAAACGAGACACTGCCTTCACCACGTCCAAAGTCCACGTGAATATTCTTTGCAATCAAGTAACATCGCACTCGAATGAGGGTATGCTTCGTCACACCATCAAACTGCACAAACACCAGCGGTTGGTGGTAGCAAGCCTGATTCCGATAGGGAAAGTACATGGATCGAAATGTGCCGTTGCCCAACTTGCCGGGATTTATTCCCGGTGGAAGTGCCGAGAACTTGTAGTCCATATCGAAGTAACGAATGACTCCGAGGTGGTTGGTGTCATCCTCATTGTAACCCTCACACCGTACCAGCACACCGTCCGCTCCGTCCACCGGGTCAGGCAACCAACCATAAATTTTTCCCATCTTCAGGGCGAAACAGGGTTGCGCCGCGTCATAACCAAAACCACTAATCATGTTGCAGGGTCCCCCAGCACTAACGTCATAGGCACAAGGACGTTCTGGATCCTGGTTCAGACCGCCTTCCTTCACACAGTCCTCCCTCTCGGTGCAGCCGGTGTTGTCCTGATAGGAGTGCAGGAAGGCCGTGATGTAGTCGCTCAATGATGATACCGACAGGGGCACGCTTGTCTCCATGTGAATGAGGCTGGTAAAGATATTCGGCTGAGGCACGAAGCTGAGGCCGGGATTCATGCTTAGGGCACTGTGAGTACCCGTCAACCTTGGGTAGTCACGTGATACCTGAAAGTACATTAGCCAACTCATGTAGTTGAAGAAGAAGGCTGCAAGAAGGGCGTAGAAGAGGACGAAGTAGAGAAGACGCTGACAGTGGACCCGAAATGCGGGTCGGTCGAACATGTGATGATCAAGTAACTGGTATTCAGATGGAACATACTGCAATTCAGTCCCGTTTTTAAGCGGAGTTGGCAGAGCCTTGAGGTGATCATATTGTGCTTGCTTACCGGCACTCATGATCCACCCGAACTTGTATAATTTGAAAAAGGGAGAGAAGTCTGACTTAGAATGGCTGTACACTCAGCAGGTAATGTGGATACCAGACATGATGGATTGCAAGACTAGCTACTGTCCTCTTTTGAGAAACCAGGCGCACTGATACGATGAGCACAAACTGTCCTCTTTGTGTTTAAGGGAGAGAAAGAGGTTCTCTGAGATTCAGCGTACGACTGAGACTTTTAGGTGTTCTCGCGGAGAGGACATGGTCCAATCACATGGGGTGGGAGACCGCACATCAAACTAAAAACTTGACACTCTCTCGTTCTCGTATGCAAATGTACTGCACCGCAAATACGTTACATAGAGCTGATTGCCTTACGAGACATGCTGAACTTTGCTTCAGAAATGAAAAAGGCATTGACAGGTGCCCGTCTTCATCAGAGGGACTAAGAGAGTCAACGGCGGGATATGTTCACTAGAGTTCCTTATTTTGCTCGATGTTTGTGCAAGGAATTCACTCCATTGTCGTCAGATTTCAGCCCCTCGTGAAAGATTTTTGTAAATTGTTACATATGTTAATAGTTTCTGAGGTTGTTCAAGAATATCCTGTGGAGGCATTGAGAGTTTGAGTCAGCCTAAATTCAGACAGATGGAGCCAGTTTCTTGGGATATTGTAATGTTGCTCAATAGCCTGCACTTTGTAATTTCTGAATTTATTAGTTTGATTATTCTCTATAGGTCACATGTCAGAAACCACGCAGAGGACGTTGGGGGAACACTGAGGAGGTAACACCGCACAGTTGCATGATGCGACATCATAAACGTCGGCAAAACACGTGTATGGGCTATTATCAGTACCTATGTCTTGAGTACGGCATAAAAAACTTTGCCACATGTATATATCGCGTTCACCATGCCGAATAAAACAAAGAGGGGAGGGTAGGCGAATTAATAGGTCTAACTTAATGTGTATTCTCATTTTGCGGATTCAAATGCAACCAATAGGACAATTGACTTGCGGCTTAAGATCAGAGCGTTGGACTTACTATCGCTCAATGACAAAAGAATCCTAGTTCAAATCCTAGTCCTGAAAACTAGAGGCCTGGCATGGATGGCTGGTGACGATTAGTAAGGGAGATGTTACCATTTCAATCTCTATTGTCCTTGCTGGTACTCTTTCTTCTGCACATGTGTACATATACATTGAAAGATGGGCATCCTAAGAAGTTTAATTAGAAGGTACTAAGTCCTTTGAGAAATGCAACAAACTGTATTCCGGAAATTTTCAGCACTGGTACCTCAGGTTGTCTTCAGACGTGTGGCCAATATGCAAAAAAGTCAGCACTTTTAGGTGTCAAAAATCGATACTGTCTTTTATTTCCTGCCAATGATTTATGGTCCCGCTTGACATCTGGTGTTGATTGGCTGTGGCCTCCTTCACTTTTCCCTGAGATTATTGTAAACGACGTCTAGTGCAATGTGCCGGTTAATGCATGATTCAAGGCGAAAATATGGCCTCCAAAAATTCACGGTATTACTGACAAAGACAAGAGAGAACCGAATGGCCATTTCTGGCTTATTAGCCGCCGTTAACCTGTCACAACCAACACCGAAGTGTGGACAGCTTAGGTATGACTGGTTTACGATAGCTGATGAGCCAAAAATGGCCATTCGATTCTCTCCTGTCTTTGTCGGTAATGCTATTCTGCCTATGGTACGTGCTGCTGTGCGGCTGCTGGCGGAGTTCGCGAGAGAGAGAGAGCCCCAAGACACAACAGAACGAGTGAGTTCCGAAGTCCGATTGGCGAACGTGAGATAAATAAACAATTGGTCCCAGCGATCGTCTTTCCATTTTATTGCATATAGAATTCTATATGATTTTAAGACTATCCGATAGATTTTTCTGTCTTCATCTCTGACAACGTTACCCTACGCTGGCTAGGGATTTACTGTCTTTCAAGCACGCCGCCTAAGGTGATTTATCCTTCACTGTTGTCTTTATGCCCTTATTTGCCAGTCAACTGCGTAAGACGAAATATCCCATTCTGTTTAAAAGATTATCTCAAATTGACCAAAGAAAACTTTTCCAATAATGAATTTAATAGGACGCATCATAGGGTAAATGCTGAAAGGACA